CTGGTCCAGAGTCGATTATTTACAGACCGCCATCATATAGCTGGAATATTGCTGAGTGCGGTGATAATTATCAAACAAACAAATCTATTACAAGTGTCCCCTGTTTGTACACTGTTTTCCACTGAAAAGGATAGTAGAAACAACAGGTTACGTTGTTTGATAAACGCAGCACTTGACTCCCCCACAACCAACACTAACAGCCACTGGTGTTGGATCTCTGTGTACCAGAAACCTATGAGCAGGGTTCGCATCCCGTTTCACCCACATCATGTTTCTAGGTTTGCTCGTGGGTTTCACCGAAGTGGTGAAAGTTTACAACCTGCATCACTTCGGGCTTTCCTGGGGCGGTCGGGTAGCCTAGGGGTTAAAGCGTTCGCTCGTCACGCCGAAGACCCGGGTTCGATTCCCGACATGGGTACAATGTGTGAAGCCCATTTCTGTTGTCCCCCGCCATGATATTGCTGGAATATTGCTAAAAGCAGCGTAAAACCATACTCACTCACTCACTCGGGCTTTCCTTCCACACCAAGCTGACACGCCGCGATATAACTGAAATACTGTTCAAAGCGGCTTCAAGCAACATCTCACTTATTCTGAAGGAACTTGTACTGAACAATGATTCTAGTGTAATACAATGCACTCAACAGAAAAAATAGTGTTGGAAAACAAAGGTATCAATAACATGTAGAACATGCATATTCATATTTAGGCAGTTTTTTTTACATTTTGATGTTTTGCCTTCCTGGCGAAGTCCTGACTCGGTGATGTCGGACAGTCCGTATGTACATTCAGATCTCGTGCCAATATTGTTTTTGTTTTTTCATCTCATCTGTATTGACGACAATTTTTTTCTTAATAAAACTGTTCTATCTCCTATTCAGTTTGTCATTATCTCGGAATATCGATCCTTGAAGACCAGGGCTAGAAGGTCTTCAACAAACCATGCTTGCCGAAACAGACAACTATGCTTGTTGTAAGAGGCAATTAACAGGATCGGGTGGTCAGGCTCGCTGACTTGGTTGATACATATCATCGTATCCGAATTACATCGTTCGATGCTCATGATGTCAATCACAAGATCGTCTGGTTCAGACTTGATTATTTACAGACCGTCTTCATTTAGCTGGAATATTGCTTTTTGTGCAGCTTTAAACTACAAACAAACAAAACAGTATTTTATGTCCAGTCTGTTACGATATATATATCCTGGACCGATTTGACACAATAATGAATTTTGAGTCCTGGTTGAATTATATGATGCTATTTATAGCTGCCCAAACAAGTCGACCCAATGAGTGAGAGAAATTCTGTGTTCAGCACCCACAGCGATAATTGGTACTGTATTGGCTAGTGAACAATCCCAATTAGCACCCCTTTCGATTGATCAATGTACACTTATTTATTCGTGTATAATAAGCACTCGTGTGTTATGTGCACCCTTAATTATGGGCAATTCACTTCTGGAAAATATATTTTGAAATATAACTTTTCTTTTGTATCATTTCAGGCTGTCAGCATAAAACACAAAATTTACGATCTTTCAACTGGTTTTTTTCTTCTCCAAAATTATATTCTAATAAGAGACCCCTATTTCTAATTTTGGGAGTGCCCTGGCTGCTTATTACGTCGAATACGGTATATGTACTGATGGATTGTATAGGGGAACACTTAGTAAAGTGATATGTTATCATGGGTTTCCAGGTGTGTCTACCAAGTAGGAGTTAGAAACAATGCACACAAACACATCTCAACATTTGATTCTGATGTGTTGAATTTGTATGTGCCCTTTTTTTAATGTACGGACAGTAAAGCTTATTTCTCGCTATTTATCACTGTTCCCTTATTTATTTCCATCAGTATAATTCCAGCCTGTAAAATCGTTAGACGTTAAATTGTCTTGCAACATCACGTTGACTCGATCCTGCTTCAAGCATACCAATGGCTCGCAGACGCTGATTTTCGGACAGGCGTGGCATTTCATTATGTTGAATAATTGCGTAATTTTGTTGTTTTTCTGATTGGTTGTTGTCAGCATGATGCTAAACAATGCATATGGAATCCCGTTAACTCATGTTTTTATACCCATTCTTGGGTAGTGAAATACATGGGACTTGTATAAAAGTCAACTTTTGCATGGAATGTATGCTTTTCTGTAGTAGTTGCGTTTTTGTGACTTGATTCCATACATGTACAACAATATTGAAAACCAAACTTTACTTGTTTGAAATATACACTAAAATATTAGTGTCACAGGAACTTTTGTTGTTGAGTATAGTCCATTCAGGCAAGCCAGAAGCATGGACCACCATGGATACCACACAGTGAGTCACACAGCCATGCCACCCAATACCCATTTTGGTCTAATGAGAAACAGGAGGTAGTCAGGGAGGACCTACCATATTCGCCCTAATTAGCGTCCTCAGCACTTAGAAAATTTACAAAGTGGGGTACTTATTATTATCAAGCAGAAGTGAAGAAACTTCGTTCAAACATCAATGTAACCAAATGTTTTCAATAATAGTTAACCGACAACTATATTCCACTTTTGCACCGCTGTTTTCTGTAAATAATCTAAAAAATTGCACAAGAAAATATGTACAGTCATATAAAATTTAGGTCTCAGTAGGGGTGCTTATAAAGAATACTAACAGATTGGTCTAGGGGTGCTTATTGGAGCAGGGTGCTTAATAAGGAGACTACAGTATGCTGACCAGAAAGTAGCATACATACACGATCATACCTTCCCCACAAACCTCCATTTAACACCACCAGATCGCAGACAGCTAAATAAGTGTGTGGTGCAGATGAGTGAGTATAGTTTTACGCCTTTTCGTAATATTCCCGCAACATCACAGCTGAGACACCAGAAACGGTTTCACACAATGGTTTGTTTGTTGCTTAACGCCGCACTCAGCAATATTCCAGCTGTTTGATGGCAGTCTGTAAATAATGGAGTCTGGATCCAGTGAGCATAGATCTATGCAATTTGGATACGATGACATGCATCAACCAAGTCAGCGAGCCAGATCAACCAATCCTGTTAGTCGCCTGCTACAGCCAGCTTGGGTTGCTGATGACCTATTCTAACCCAGATCTTCATGGGTCTTGCACATCATACCCATGTTGGGAGCCCAAACCTGCCTTCAGCAGAACGAGCAAACACTTTAACCGCTAGGCTACCACACCGCCCCTTGTAGGGAAAATAGTACCAGTAAGTGGGAGGTTAGTCGTACAGTGTGGACATTAAACACAGGGAAAAAAACCTTGGACAAGGCTTTGTGTTTTGAGTTTTTATCAATGTCATCTGAAACAACACTGTTCTATGACATACAGTTTCTTTAGAACAAATGTGAGGTGAAATGGGGTTTAACGTCGCGTCCAAGATTATTGCACTTATATAGCGACGTGCATGCACGTGTGTGTGTGTGTGGCTGCTTGTACTAGTCCGGACTGATACCGATTTATAGTGCTAGCTCACTGAGATACCACGCCGCAGTTTAACATGGGTAATACCCACTCAGACACACTATACTGACTCCGAGCTGACCAGTCCTTGTGTTAGCCCCTTAATGCCGAGTGCCAGACAGGGTAACAACAAGTACCATCTTTTAACGTCTTTTGGTATGACGAGGTCGGGGATCGAACCCCGAACCTTCCGCTCTCCGGGCGGACGCTCTACCACTAGACCACGGAGGCGGTCTAGAACAAATGTACTCAAATAATATCCTTATTTGATGAGAAAGGTCTGTTAAGAACTACCTCAGTAAGTCTGTCACAATGACATCAAGTGCAAGACGTCAAAATGGCCAACACGATAAACGTGACGGGAGAGATTTTGGAAGTTGTTGATGAACCTGTGGCGGTTACATGTTTTAGTCATCATTGATGAACTGGCCGATCATTGAAAGCTGATTAAAGATGTGTCAAATAGGCACTAAGGTAAATTCATAGATTGCTGTAGACTGTCACTGTCAGCCTGGACAAGGATCAAGTTGATACTTTGATAGTTTGGATGTGCATTTCTTCGTTGTTTATTTGTGAACAATCATGCAGTCAAACTCTCTGATGTTTCTCAATGTATACTGAAACGCTGAGTTCAAGATTCAAGATTAAAGGATCTGTATGTATTTGTGCTAGGGAATTCCCAGGGCTTTCCTCAGGAATGTGGAAGTAGTCCGTCAGTGTTTACATCATTTCAAGAACACGGTCTCGTGAAAAATGCATGAACATCAAATTGTGTGGTTCGTACACTTATGAATGTCAATTTTGCGGTCATGTGACCGACCTCTTGTCCAATGGAAAAGCTGTATACGGTGTAAACTTCAAAATAAAAAATTATACAGAAATGTCCATGATAAAGAAATTATTTATTCTTTTGCAGTATATAATATCATACATAAAAATATGAACAACATGGCATTCTGATTTACAGTTACTTTCAAAAAGTCTTTAAAAAAACAAAAAACAAAACAAAACCGCAGTTGCCCATTGAAATCTTCACACATCAAACAAAATATCTCAGTAACAACTAAAATTAAAAGAATTTTATTTTGTAGAAAATAAAAATACCAAAACTACAGAAGTAAATTAAGAAGATACAGTTCATAATGCATGATAATATTTCTCTATATGGTATAACAAACCATATCAGATATCACATATGGAGAGCTCTTCTAGTGTTTCTATGTTGATGGGAAGATTGCAGGGTTACCATGGAGACAGTTACTGCCCCTAATATATCTTCACAGAGTCTGTCTCACACACATCTAGCTGTAGACTAGTTACAGATCTCAGACAGAGGTTACACTGTAGCGGTAGAGTTATTACAGATCTCAGACAGGGGTTACACTGTAGCTGTAGACTTGTTACAGATCTCAGACAGGGATTACTCTGGAGCTGTAGACTTGTGACAGGTCTCAGACAGGGGTTACACTGTAGCTGTAGACTTGTTACAGATCTCTTGCTGAATGCGGCGTTAAACAACAAACCAACCAACCAATGTTACAGATCTCAGACAGGGGTTATTCTTACAGTCCAACTGTTCCTGATTTGCCCCTAACCCCGTCCAACAGTTTCCAATCTGCCCCTAGCATTGTCCTACTGTTCCTACACACCCAAATACCTGAGAAGATACATTTCCCTGGAGAAGATGACAGAAAAAGGCGAGACACTCCTACCCTGTTGTCAGGAGAAGGGTCACCACTCTCCCAAGGAGCTCCGAAGTATTGAAGTATTGAGTATTATCGAAGTATACATCAGTACTGAAGTATGGAGTGGAATTGAAAACAAAAACATAACACGTGGCAACTGTCTGGCTGATACAGGTCCCCGTTCAACAAAGCGATCTTAGCGCTAAGACAATGATGTTACAGCGATGCCTTCCACTCCTGGAGGATCTTGGCTGCCTTCTCAAGTGTGCTGTCCTCCTGGAACACAGGGACATTCACAGTAAGTCCATCGTCACCGGACAACGTTAAAACATGAATACAGAACAGTGTAACAGTTGTATGAGTGACAGTCATTCACAGAGTGAGTGAATATGGTTTTACGCCACTCTTAGCAATATTCCAGCAATAACGCAGCAGAGAACTACAGAAATAGGCTTCAGACATTCTGCCCTGTGGGGAATCGAACCCGGGTCTTGAGTGTGACGAGTGAACGCTTTAACCACGAGGCTAGCCAGCCGTCCCAGTCATTCAAAGAAGTTCCTCACACATGTTGAGCCACTGTCTAAATCAATCATTGTTCTTGCTCAACATATGAATCTATTCTAAAACTATTTAACATTCTACATTTTGGCAGAGAAAAACATATCAAGCAAGACTAATAATTGTGATATATTTCTGTTTAATTTTTCTTATATTCAAAGTTAGAATTTTTTTTCCTCTGCCATCATATTGTAAAAGCCAAACAAATGAGCTCTATATACCGGGGTAAACCTATGTATGTGTTAATGTTGTACAAGGGGGCACGGGTGGCCAAGTCGTCTAAGGTGCCGCGATTCACTGTGCAGAGCTGCATCCCTTGGGTACTCCAGAAACCTATGATTGTGGGTTCAAATCCCGGTTCACCCCGATTATGCTTATAGGTTTGTCAGCACCATACCCGTGCTCGTGGGTTTCACCGCTGACTAGCCGCAATATAATTGTAATACTGTTAAAAGGGGCGTTAAACCCAACTCACTCACTCAGTCACATACCTTAATGAAGCAGAACCGAATATATTTCTCCGCCATGAATTTGTGCTCCTTGCTATAGAAGGCTGAAGGTGGAATGGCTGCCAATTTCTGCAAATAAATCATACCATTTCAAAATGCTTTTTTAAGAATAAACATTAGTTTAAACATTACCAACTACATTTGACACGTAAATTATATAATGCTGGTGCACTTGTCTATAGTCACATTTCTGTCTCTGGTCGATATATGGCTGAAATAATGCCGATGCGACGTTAAATTTAAACTCACTACTGTCATCTGACAAATAGTATTTACCTTACAACTGGCCTTAGTCAAGCAAACCCAAATAGGACAAATACAGATGAGGTTTAAGCAACATTGATGTATCAGTAATACAAAAAAGAAAAGATCCTTGTTTTATTTCATTATTTGGTTCATGGATCTGTTAAATAATAAGAAAAACAATTCTAGCCCCTGTCTATGTGCAATTTCTAAACTTGAAACAAAATTGTTAGGGAAGTGACTGTCTGTCTCATCATTTAAAGAAAATTCAAATTTCACCATACAGAACTTTCTTAAAATGTTTTTTAATCTTAATTTTTTTTTATACTTGAATACTGGGGACCTATTCTGGAGGTTTAAAAAAAATACAGAGAATTTTAGAAAGTGTCGTTTGATATCAAATATATACACTTGTCAATAAGTGTTTATCCCCTTGGCAAGCCTCAAAGCTTTTAAACTTTGATTGACTTGTGCTGATAAATTTGATATCAAAAGACAGAAGGGTGAGACTATATTTATCCAACTGTTTCAGTGTTTAAACAGTAACAACCAGTGTCTTGAGTGTGAAATGTACTGCTAACCAGCTTCAGGAGCTGAGAGATTAGTGATGTCATTTGATTGTTCATGGTAACTGATGTTAGGAAAATGGCCTGCAAAGCATTATGATGCAATTTAATTGTGGTGTTATCTTGCGGAATCCAGTTTTGGATGATAAATTGTTCTCTTCACGCAGTTTGATGCCCAAGTGTGTCAGTGCAGTACTTCAACAGAAAGTTACAGGAATAAGACTGTCACCTTCTCCCTCGTCATCCAGCGCACAAACTGGAAATCTTTAGGGTCACCACTTCCATCATCCGGAGCAGCTGTAACAGAGTGAGTGAGTGAGTGAGTGAGTGAGTGAGTGAGTGAGTGAGTGAGTGAGTGAGTGAGTGAGTGAGTGAGTGAGTGAGTGAGTGAGTGTGAGTGAGTGAGTGAGTGAGTGATGGGGTGAGTGAGTGTGAGTGATGGGGTGAGTGAGTGAGTGAGTGATGGGGTGAGTGAGTGAGTGAGTGATGGGGTGAGTGAGTGAGAGTGATGGGGTGAGTGAGTGAGTGAGTGAGTGAGTGATGGGGTGAGTGAGTGAGTGAGTGAGTGAGTGATGGGGTGAGTGAGTGATGGGGTGAGTGAGTGAGTGAGTGATGGGGTGAGTGAGTGAGTGAGTGATGGGGTGAGTGAGTGAGTGATGGGGTGAGTGAGTGAGTGAGTGAGTGATGGGGTGAGTGAGTGAGTGAGTGAGTGATGGGGTGAGTGAGTGAGTGATGGGGTGAGTGAGTGAGTGAGTGAGATGGGGTGAGTAAGTGAGTGAGTGAGTGATGGGGTGAGTGAGTGAGTGAGTGAGTGAGTGAGTGAGTGATTGAGTGAGTGAGTGAGTGAGTGAGTGAGAGTGATGGGGTGAGTGAGTGATGGGGTGAGCAAGTGAGTGATGAGATGGGGTGAGTGAGTGAGAGAGACAGCATGAGTGGGAGGGGTAAGTGAGAGAGAGACAGAGTGAGTGAGTGAGTGAGTGAGTTAGACAGAATGAGTTGGGTAAGTGTGAGAAAGAGACAGGGTAAGAGTGAGTGAGTGAGTGAGTATGTTTTTACGCCGCTTTTAGAAATATTCCAGCAATATCATGGCGGGGAACACCGGAAATGGACTTCACACATTGTACCCATTTCGGGAATTGAACCCTGGTCTTCGGCGTGACGAGCGAAGGCTTTAACCACTTGGATAGCCGACAGCCCCGACAGGGTAAGAGAGAGAGTGAGTGAGTGAGTGAGTAAGTGAGACAGCATGAGTGGGATATGGTAAGTGTGTGTGAGAGAGAGAGAGAGTGAGTAAGTGAGTGAGTGAGACAGCATGAGTGGGTAAGTGTGTGTGAGAGAGAGAGAGAGAGAGAGAGAGAGTGAGTGAGTGAGACAGCATGAGTGGGAGTGGGTAAGTGTGAGAGAGAGAGAGAGAGAAAGAGAGAGTGAGAGAGACAGTGAGTGAGTGAGTGAGTGAGTAAAGATTATGGACACTCAGTATCATGATGCCACAGAATACACAAAGCACAACGTGATGGTGTTTCATTTACTTCTTCCTATACGGAATAATAACACAGCATCATATTTAGTGTGTGTATCTACATCTAACTGACACGGTCACAACTCACAGAACTTGGAGACGTCCGTCATGATGAAGTACCCCCCTTCTGGGATGATGGGTGTCATGCCCAGCTCCTTCAGCGTCTTCGCCAACATGTCCCGCTTCGGCAGCAACTCTGCCGGCAGGGCCCGGAAGTAACAGTCAGGGGAGTCCAGCCGAGACAACTCCTTCTCAAAGCCAATCGCTACCGCTTCCTGGGGAGGAGGAGGCATACCATCACAGAGAGTGAGTGAGGAAGTTGGGTTTAACGCCGCTTTAAATAACATATCTGTTATACCACGTGTCAACTTGATGTAGGAGAAAGCATGAAGTGATGCAGGTCTTAGAAGTTTACCACCTTGGTGAAACCCACAAGCAATGGTATGGTGCTGACAAACCTAGAAACAAAATCAGGGCGTTTCCAACATACGAACATGGGTTCCTGGAACACCTAAGGGATACAACTCTGCAAGGCCCGTGTATACTGAGCAGGGAGAGTCACATCTACACTCACCTGCAGTATAGTGGGTCAGGTGTATACGAAGCAGGGAGACACATCTACACTCACCGGCAGTATAGTGGGGCAGGTGTATACTCAGCAAGGAGAGTCACTTCTACACACACCAGCGGTATAAGGGGGCAGTGTATAAGGAGCAAGGAGAGTCATGTCTACACTCACCTGCAGTATAGTGGGGCAGTGTAAACTGAGAAAGGAGAGTCCCGTCTACACTCACCTGCAGTATAGTGGGGCAGTGTAAACTGAGAAAGGAGAGTCCCGTCTACACTCACCTGCAGTATAGTGAGGCAGTGTTAACTGAGCAAGGAGAGTCACGTCTACACTCACCTGCAGTATAGTGAGGCAGTGTTAACTGAGCAAGGAGAGTCACGTCTACACTCACCTGCAGTATAGTGAGGCAGTGTTAACTGAGCAAGGAGAGTCACGTCTACACTCACCTGCAGTATAGTGGGGCATTGTATACTGAGCAAGGAGAGTCACGTCTACAATCACCAGCTGTATAGTGGGGCATTGTATACTGAGCAAGGAGAGTCACATCTACACTCACCAGCTGTATAGTGGGACATTGTATACTGAGCAAGGAGAGTCACGTCTACACTCACCTGCAGTATAGGGAGGCAGGTGTATACCAAGCAGGGAGAGTCACGTCTACATTTACCGGCAGTATAGTGGGGCAGGTGTATACTGAGCAAGGAGAGTCGTGTCTACACTCACCAGCGGTATAGTGGTGCAGTGTATACGGAGCAAGGAGAGTCCCGTCTACACTCACCGGCAGTATAGTGGGGCAGGTGTATACTGAGCAAGGAGAGTCACGTCTACACTCACCGGCAGTATAGTGGAGCAGGTGTACACAGAGCAAGGAGAGTCATGTCACACTCACCTGCAGTATAGTGAGGCAGTGTTAACTGAGCAAGGAGAGTCATGTCACACTCACCTGCAGTATAGTGGGGCAGGTGTAGTTACAGTTGACGTGCATCGTCATGACAGTGGACATGAGATGTTCAGGTCCGACTGTCCACCCCAGCTTCCAACCTGTGGCGCTGAATGTCTTTCCCGCGCTGCCGATTGTCAGCGTACGCTCCCACATGCCTGGGAGGGAGGCTGCAAACAGGGGAGATAATCAGTTAGTTAACTATGCTGAACAACCTGTGTGAAAATATCGAAATATCACGAATATTCTAGAAAATATATTCTGGCAGGGTTGGTAAATCATGTAACAGCAAAATGTTTCCTGACACATCTTAAGACAATCGGAGAAAAATCGGGAAGGAACACAAACACTACTATCATGTTCTTCTGCAAAACAGTTGACAGCTAATACAAATGCAGTTCCTACGATAATCACTGTGTAAGAAAGTGCTTGAGGGAAACTTGGTTAAGACAACAGGCACAGGTCAAAAGGCAGCATGGACGCTGACACCTGAGTGAGTGAGTGAGTGAGTGAGTGAGTGAGTGAGTGAGTGAGTGAGTGAGTGAGTGAGTGAGTGAGTGAGTGAGTGAGTGAGTGAGTGAGTGAGTGAGTGAGTGAGTGAGTGAGCGAGCGAGCGAGTGAGTGTGAGTGAATGAGCGATTGGGTGGGTGGGTGAGTGAGTGGCTGGGTGTTGGGTGAGTGAGTGAGTGAGTGAGTGAGTGAGTGAGTGCGAGTGTTTTTATGGGTGGGTGGGTGGGTGAGTGAGTGGCTGGGTGTTGGGTGAGTGAGTGAGTGAGTGAGTGAGTGACTGAGAGCAAGCGGGTGGGTGGGTGAGTGAGTGGCTGGGTGGTGGCTGGGTGAGTGTGTGAGTGAGTTGGTGAGTGGGTGAGTGACGTGGGTGACGTGGGAGTGAGCATTTCACAGCAACGACCACCAAGAAATGTTCTCATGTAGGGAATCAAACCATGTATTAGTCAAGTCAAACACTGTAACTACTGCCCCACCACCATAATCTGAATAACAACAGGGGGCAGGTAAAAGGCACTACCATTGACAACACAAGTCGGCTAGCCCATCTGTATGTATGGACATAATGTGTGATTAGTGAGTGAGTGAGTTGGGTTTAACGTCACTTTTAACAGTATTCCAGTTATATCGCAGTGTGTCAGCTTTATGTGGGAGGAAAGCCCGAAGTGATGTAGGTCTCAGACGTTTACCACTTCAGTGAAACCCACGAGCACAGGTATGGTGCTGACAGACCTAGAAACATAATTGGGGCGAACCAGGATTCGAACCCACAATCTTAGGCTCAAGGGACGCAACTCTGCACAGCAAATCGTGCCTTAGATGATTCGGGGCACCCATGCGCCCTAGTGTTTGACGAGGAGTGTTTGACACATCCCTATTTCAACTGTGATGAAACTGTTCAGACTGACCTATTTTGACATGTGTCAGACTGACCTATTTTGATATGTGTGTCAGACTGGCCGACTTTGAAATGTGTATCAGACTGACCTATTTTGACATGTGTGAGACTGACCTATTTTGATGTGTGTGTGAGACTGACCTATTTTGATATGTGTGTCAGACTGGCCAATTTTGAAATGTGTGTCAGACTGACCTATTTTGAAATGTGTGTCAGACTGACCTATTTTGAAATGTGTGTCAGACTGACCTATTTTGAAATGTGTGTCAGACTGACCTATTTTGATGTGCTTGTGTCCTGGGTAGGTCATCCACTCGTAGACCTCGTCCGCCACACAGACCACGTCATACTTCTTACACAAGGCTGCCACCATCTCCAGCTCTTCCCGTAGAAACACCTGTACATTGAATAACGGTCACATCGATCCCATTATATAAGATAGCTACACATTAAATCACAAAGAACAATGAAGAACAAAGCATGGTTTATTTCATGATGAAACATTGTTCGATCACGACATCATTTCTGTAGATTCGAACATGTGCTTGCAACTTGATGACATCATATATTGGATTACGTTAATTTTGGCCTGAGATATAGAATATATAACATTTCCATCTTCCCAAGGAAAGGGAGTTAATTGACAATGTTAATTTTGATACGGAAGTGTCAAGTAAGTTGTTCCCCATAGATGTAGCTGGGCAATGCAGATAAAAGCAGTGGCCAAATGATCGCATCCAAAAGTGGGAGAGATATGGTGATTTGGTATCCCAATAACATAGGTCGATGCTCATGATGTCAATCACTGGATTGTCTGGTCCAGACCTAATTATTTACAAACCACCGTCATATAGCTGGAATATTGCCGAGTGTGGCGTTCAACCACAAACACCTGAGGTAAAGGAAGATTTCAAGCTAAATACATACTTTGATGTCACAACACATCATGAATACAATATTCGTGTAAGAATCCTTACTGTCATGTTTTCCAAATTTTGGCCTGAGATATAGAATATGTACACATTTCCATCTTCCCAAGAAGAGAGTTAACTGACAACAAGGTCCAGTTTCCACCCTTGATGAACTCGGCTGGAATTTTGGAGTTATATTTTGGCTGGATCAACAAGTTTATGCATAGTCCAGTCAAAAATGCAGAACAAAATTGCAAATCTAAGCCTCTCCTATGGACCAATCAGATTCCACTTTTCGTATCACTTGTGTTAGCTTCACACAAAATGGTTCCACCCGGTCAGGATGATAATCAAGATCTATATTGTGATAAAACAGGTCTTACTTCGCAAAATGCATCAAATCACGTGAGCACCTTGATTAAAACATGAAAAGATTTGGAAAATATCTGCTGATAACGAGTTGGCGGTGCACATGCTTTGCAAATCCTGCAATCAACCGACAAGACAGTTTACGAACCGGATTTCGTTTTCGGTGCGCGATTTTGATTGGACTATGCATTGACTCGTTAGTCCAGCCAAAATGTAACTCCATAATACCAACCTAGTTCGGCAAGGGTGGAAACTGGACTTTAATAGTCAGTTAACTCCCTTGCCTCGGGAAGATGACACACTCATGAAAGTGAAAATCTGTTGTCATGGAAACACCTCACCTTCCCCAGCGGGTTGTTTGGTGTGTTGAGGATGATGAGTTTCGTCTTCTCGTTGAACTGACTCTCCAGCTCCTTGGGGTCAAGAGTGAAGTCCCCACTTGACGACGACTCCCCGGAACTTTTCTGTAATCACAGATATTCATCCTCCGTCAATACTGCTTTTCTCGGGTCAATAAAAACAAGCATGAAATACTCATATTCCCCACCAATATGACATGGTTGTGTGCAAGGCAAGAAATATCATATATTTTTCAAGATCTGCTTAAGAGGTGAGGTGAGGTGAAATTGGGTTTAACGTCACGTCCAAGATTATTGCACTTATATAGCGACGTGCATGTACGTGTGTGTGTGTGTGTGTGTGTGTGTGTGTGTGTGTGTGTGTGTGTGTGGCGGCTTGTACTAGTCTGGGCTGATGCTGATTTATAGTGCTAGCCCACTGAGATACCATGCTGCAGTTTAACATGAATACCCCACTAAGACACAGTATATTGACTCTGAGCTGACCAGTCCTTGTTTTAGCCCCTTCATGCTGAGCGCCAGACAGGGTAACAACAAGTACCATCGTTTAGCGTCTTTTGGTATGACGCTGCCGGGGATCGAACCCCAGACCCTCGCTCTCCGGGCCACATGACCACAGAGGAAGTCCTGCTTAAGAAATGGCATTACCCCAATTTTTAGTCTAAGTCAAAGTTGTTGCCATAGAAACTTGAAAAATAATTTGTTTAAAAATCGCAAACTATCAAAAGGCACCAGTTTACCACCAGACCTATCTATGTGTCAAGTTTAGTTAAGATATCTCTCATGGTTTTTGAGTTCTGCTCCAGAAACGAAACGTGACAGACGGAAGGAAGGGAGGTCTGATTGACAGAAGGACGGACAGACAGCACACATTCCTATATCCCCCTTCTACTTCATGGCAGGGAATAATAATCTGTTTCATTACAGTAACCTGTGAACCAAGAAACGTTACTACCAGACGCCATCTTGTTTTCTAGCAGATGAGAGTCAATACTGATCACATGACAAGTCAATATTTGAGGTGATTGTCAGTCACATGATTTGGGGGTCTACATTGAAATGCATTGTTTCGTTGTCAGGACTAACCAATGAAATAGCAAGATTCATAATAGAGGCAGCGTTTGTAAAGAAAAAATTGCCAGGCTGCTATCAGGACCCACAGATTTATTGTGACAAATACACCGACACGTAAGTGCAGGCCACAAGGACCCATATAAATCTGAAACAACGGGCCCAACTTATTTCGAACACTGGAAAGAGGTATAACAAATACAGGAACTGGCCTTGTATAAAGTCCATACTTGTTTTATGATACAATAAAGAGACACCAGCTGATTCAACATATCAAATAATCTTAGGAGCTTCCAACAAACAGAGACATCTCATTGGCTCAGGTTTAGGGAATACCACATCTGGGTAATTCCCATTCTATTTTTAGTAACGCAGGTCAATACTGTAAATTATCAGAACAAACTTGGAGTCAGTATGCGTTTGTGAAATTGACATGTGGCAGCTTCTCAGCTAATGAATATGTCTGAATTCTTTGCATTATAAAAGAAAAGCATTTCATCAACATGGTTTGGGGGTACAGGCAATTTTACAAAAATCCAGTTACTATCCTAAACTCACCGGTTTTAGGGCAACAAATCTTGGAGTTCCTCCAGCCACTCTCACCATTGGCTCATAGCAGTCGAAGAACGGTTCAATGATGATCACCTGTGTTGTACAAACATCCAATATTATCATATAATGGATAGGTTTCTCGGCAGGATAAAGCCAACGGATAAAACGATATCCGTTGGGGTCATATGCGGATAGAGATGCAAATATCAAAGGTCAAGTAGGACTACTTTCACTGTTTATAAACAAACATGGTGATCGAGTCAGAATTAACCATCGGGAATCTGGATAAACTACAGGGATAATTGCTATCATTATCAAAAGAACAGTCTAATATACTGAAAATCAGTGTCTAACTGTGACGTAGCTAAGGCATTTTATAAGTTTTGGCAACTTTGGAGATATAAATTTCGAAACAATTTTGCGAGGGCACGTGGCCTAGCCAAGCGGGATCAGTAGCCATATCTGGGCTTGTAGATCTCTGCGGCTTGAAACCTTCTCCACAAATAAAAATAGTTGGATTTGGCCGAAATATGTTTGAATCGTTACCTTTGTTTCGTTTTGTCGCAGTGTGTACATCTGACTACACTTCTTAACGTTATGACAGGACAGACCGACTGTCAACAACGTCTGACCGTGGCCGTGACGTCTCATAGACTAGGGTTAGAGTAGCTTCCCTTTGACAAAGGTCAGTTACTCTACTGGACAGACTGATGGATTGCCGCGAAAGACAATTAAAAACAACTGTTGTTTTGCGTATATGTTGCTTCGCCACTGTATAAGAAACAGATTTCAGTCGGAACTATATTGGCTACTGTCACTGTCACATCACTTACCCTGTGACGTAATAAATATTAATATGCGCATTCCAGGAAAACTCGCAATATTTCGGTAATGTTTGTGAGAGAGGGAAAGCGATTTTAAAGCACAGAATTAAAGAATGACATTATATGATAAAGAGGTTATCACGCTTGTGTGTTTAGGGATGGTAAATATCCTGCATTAGGAATAAACATTGTATTTAGCGAGCCTTGGCAAGCTAAATACATAGTGTTTATTCCTAATACAGGATATTTACCATCCCCAAACACACTCGCGTGATAACCTCTATTTACACAAATAACTTCAACCCTTCCTTCCTTCCTTGTAGAGGGGCCACGGGTGGCCCAGTCGTCTAAATCGCCGCGATTCGCTGTGCAGAGTTGTGTCCCTTGGGCATGCCAGAAACCTATGATTGTGGGTTTGAATCCCGGTTCACCCCGATTATGTTTATAGGTTTGTCAGCACCATACCCATGCTTGTGGGTTTCACCAAAGTGGTAAACATCTGACACCTGCATCACTTCGGGCTTTCCTCCCACATTAACCTGACATGCCGCAATATAGCTGGAATAATGTTAAAAGCGGCATTAAACCCAACTCACACACTCCTTTCTTGAAGAATATTTACAAAAATACCAAGGAAATATTGACCATCTAGAACAATCATTTCACCAATTTATCAATACAATTATCAAAGATATCTCCAGATATATTGAATAAAAAAAGTTAGGGATCATGAATATTTTAAGATATATTAATTATGAACGTGTGTTCAGTCCTCGCAATACACAAATATCCCCAAACATATTCATGATCTTTAACTCTATGTTCAGTATAAACAGAAATTTTCCCATGAACTCAAAAGTATTACAGCAAATCTTTAATTCATGTGCACACACTGTGTAAGAAGAATGTCAACATGTTCTGTGCCATGCGGTGACCTTTATTCAAGACGAAAATACTTGTTGTTGTTCTAGATTAGATGCAAACCTTACTGACCAATCTGGCAATCATGGCTTGCCTGGTGAGAGTATTCCATCATTAGTCCATCATTAATTAATATTAACCAGTACTTGTGAATCTGTATTCTAATTTTGTAATAAGCAGATTTAACTGCCTCCAGATGGTGGCAAAACATGGACTGGAAGCTATGTGCAATAATCCACACCATGGTGGCAAAACATGGACTGGAAGCAATGTGCAATAATCCACACCATGGTGGCAAAACATGGACTGGAAGCAATGTGCAATAATCCACACCATGGTGGCAAAACATGGACTGGAAGCAATGTGCAATAATCCACACCATGGTGGCAAAACATGGACTGGAAGCTATGTGCAATAATCCACACCATGGTGGCAAAACATGGACTGGAAGCAATGTGCAATAATCCACACCATGGTGGCAAAACATGGACTGGAAGCTATGTGAAATAATCCACACCATGGTGGCAAAACATGGACTGGAAGCTATGTGCAATAATCCACACCATGGTGGCAAAACATGGACTGGAAGCAATGTGCAATAATCCACACCATGGTGGCAAAACATGGACTGGAAGCTATGTGCAATACTGAATATCAGACTACACCTCTAATACAAATTCAAATGTCATCATTAATGGGAACAAGTATGTGAACTTGGTCACATACTTGGTCCAGTGGTTCCTGAGGAACACCACATAAGACCACTGGTCTTTAAGCCAGATGATCAGAAAAGAGAGGATTCTCCACCCCTGCAACCCTTTAAATGACTGCAGTCAGCAATATTCCAGCCACATCAAGCCAACTTGTAAAAAAATCAAGTCTGATCTAGGTCAACCAGTGGTCATAGCTTGATCGACATTGTAATCCCCCAATCCTCAATTTTGTCAGTTCTTACGACAAGCAGGGTACTAAGGCCTATTCTACCTTGTGAATAAGTCAAATACTTCCAAGCTGACAACCCATGAAGACCAGGGGTAGAATAGGTCTTCAGCAACACGACTATGCTTGTCGCAAGAGGCGACTAATGGGATTGGGTGGTCAGGCTCCCTCACTTGGATGATGTATGTCATCGTATCCCAATTGGATAGATCGATGCTCATGTCAATCACTGGATTGTCTGGTCCGTATTCAAATATTTTCAGACCGCCGTCATATAGCTGGAGTATTGCTGAGCGCGGCGTTAAACAACAAACAACAAGCAATCAATCCAAGCTGCCCACTCACCTCATCCCCAGGGTTGAGCAGCCCCTGTATTGTACAGAACAGAGCTCCGTACGCTCCCACCGACACCAGCACTTGGGTCATAGGATCAATCTCCCGTCCAATCAGCGGTGAGTTGACTTTAGCCAAGGCATTTACAAGTCGTGGGTGACCCTGGAAGAAGAGACAACTACATGAAATACCAGCTCTGTGATGTACAAGCCAGATCATCATCAGATCCTTACATGACGACATAAAACATAGTCTTTGAAAGGTATTTAGAAGTGACACACATGAGGAAGAGAATCTATGGATGTTAACTTCTTGTCATGAGGAACACAATGTTTTGGAGTATATGCTTACTCCTTCATCAGGTGAAGAACTGAAGAACTTACTCCTTCATCATTCATTATTCACCTGATGAAGAAGTGAGTGAGTGAGTTGGGTTTAACGCCGCTTTTATCATTATTCCAGTTATATCACGGCGTGTCAGCTTAATGTGGGAGGAAAGCCCGAAGTGATGCAGGTCTCAGACGTTTACCACTTCGGTGAAACCTACAAGCACGGGTATGGTGCTGACAAACCTAGAAACATAATCGGGGCGAACCGGGATTCGAACCCACAATCATAGGTTTCTGGCGTGCCCAAGGGACGCAACCCTGCACAGCAAATCGCGGCCGTGTCCCCGATGAAGAAGTAAGCATATACCCCAAAACATTGTGTTCCTCATAACAAAGTAGTTAATGCCCATAAATTCTCTTCCTCAAAACATAGTCACCAGCAAAGAAATTCAGGTTGCAGTACTTTGGTCCATGGGAACATACAGTACCTCTGCTACCTACACGATCCCCCAGCGGAAATTAGACCAACACTTTCTTTGCTGGAGATTGTAAGCATGTATTTTGTTTGTTTGTTGTTTAATGCCGCACTCAGCAATATTCCAGCTATATGACGGTGGGCTGTAAATAATCGAGTCTGGACCAGACAATCCAGTGATTGATATCATGAGCATCGATCCACGCAATTGGGATACGATGACATGTATCAACCGAGTCAGCAAGCCTGACCACCCGATCCCATTAGTCACCTCTTACGACAAGCATAGTTGCCTTTTACGGCAAGCATGGGTTGCTGAAGACCTTTTGTAACCCGGATCTTCACGGGTGTTGTGAACAAGTAAGCCATCAAATACAAGATACTGCAGTTAAGACAGTTCTGCACCAGGAACCCCACTGGGACACCACGTTTACACTAACAACCAACAAGTCTATGTGATGCATCAAGAGAGAGAACAAAGGGGAGGATGATGTGGTTGATGATGCTCACGTAGCTGCGGGTGTACTGGCTGAGGGAGAAGTTGCCACTCCTGGCGCAGGTTTCCAGTGCCTCCAGGACATGTTCGGGAGGCTTGAAATCCGGGAAACCCTGCCAATGTCAGACATAGCATATGCAAGTCGACACAGAAATAATAACACAAACAACTACTGGCACAACAACTACTGGCACAACAATTACTGGCACAACAACTACTGGCACAACAACTACTGGCACAACAATTACTGGCACAACAATTACTGGCACAACAACTACTGGCACAACAACTACTGGCACAACAATTACTGGCACAACAATTACTGGCACAACAACTACTGGCACAACAATTACTGGCACAACAACTACTGGCACAACAACTACTGGCACAACAACTACTGGCACAACAATTACTGGCACAACAACTACTGGCACAACAACTACTGATGTGATGAAGGATTCCTGACTGTGAATAAGTGACATCATGACGTGTCAGCTTCATGTGGAAGACCTGGAGCAAGGCCTGCACATCGGCCTGTAAACCTAGAGCTCAAATAGATCAATGCATAAATACCCATCCATCAGTTCAAATAGATAAAATGGATAAAATACCCCATCCATCAGCTCAAATATATGAAATACCCCATCCATTGGCTTAAATAGATAAAATGGGTAAAATACCCCCTAAATCAGCTCAAATGGATCAACTTGATAAAATACCCAACCATCAGCTCACATGGATAAAATACCCATCCATTAGCTCAAATGGATCAACTGGATAAAATAACCATCCATCAGCTCACATGGATATAATCGATAAGATAGCCCATCTATAAGCTCAAATTGATCAAATGGATAAAATACCAAATCTATCATCTCACATTTAATTGATAAAATGGATAAAATACCACGTCCATCAGCTTAAATAGATAAAATCCCCCATCTATCACCTCAAATAGATAAAATAGATGACATAACCATCAATCACATGGATAAAATACCCATACATCAGCCATGCGGAGTCTGTATTCAGTCAGGTGAAGGACATGTATATTAACAGTGAAACATGTTGGAATGAAGGTACATTGTAGCTGAACTTACCTGACCCAGGTTGAGAGCTTTACATTCTGTAGCTAGCTTGCCGAACTCCACCCTAGAAGAGACAGGACACACTGAGAGGGTAGGTGAGTTGATGCGTGTGTGTGAGTAGGTGCGTGTGTGAGCTGATGCATGTGTGCAGGTGCGTGTGTGTGTGCACGCACGCGCGTAGGTGAGTGAGTGAAACATTATCGATTGGATGAAACGCACACAATCATGGCAACGGCAGTAAACTCCACATGCATCGTCATCGTCTTACTATTACAATACTTTTATTATATAAAAATTGATTTCCAAGAATTAATTACATAGATAATAAACATTTGTAATATTAAAGCGTGTGGGTGCATGTGTGTGTGTGCTTGTGTGAAACATCATCGATTGGATGAAATGAACGGCGGTAGATAATAAAGTATTGTAAAATTAATCTCATACTAGTTTTTAAACGATTTAAATTAAATTATTTAGATTTAGGAATACGCTTGTTTGCTGATGAAATATATGAATGAAAACTAAGTGTAATAAATTAATGTTAAAAGAACATCATCTTGTGCTGAAAAATCATTCAGTGTTTTTGTATTTGTATGTTGTAAGACCGGTCCACTTCGATATAAAGGTAACAGGCAGGGTCCACCCTTGCCGAACTAGGCTGGTATTATGGAGTTACATTTTGGCTGGACTAACGAGTCAGTGCATAGTCCAATCCAAATCGCGCACCGAAATCGAAATCCGATTCATAAACTATCGTGCAGATTTCGTTCGATTGCAGGATTTGCAAAGCATGTGCACCGCCAACTCGTTATCAGCAGATATTTTCCAAATCTTTTCATGTTTTCAGGTGCTCACGTGATTTGATGCATTTCGCGAAGTAAGACCCGTTTTATCACAATATAGATCTTGATTATCGATCAGATCATCCTGACCGGGTGCAACCATTTTGTGTGAAGCAAACACAAGTGATACGAGAAGTGGAATCTGATTGATCCATAGGAGAGGCTAAGAAGGGACATAACTGGTAATAGCCACTGGTGGCGCTACGATGGAGCCCAGTAATTCCAGCCTAGTTCGGCAAGGGTGGAAACTGGTCTTTTAAAGTCAGTTAACTCTCTTGCCACGGGAAGCTGAGATATGCTGTCTTCATTGATACTGTTCTGAAGACATGTCGGTTTTAATCATAGAATAAAAATTAGAATTATTCTTCAAAACGCACCCAAAGCATAAAGATCGCATCGCATGAACACGCCAACATATGGCTGTGACTGCATGTGAAATGCAAGGGTTGTGCACAGATATAAGACAGTAGGTGGCATCAAGCAGTTAGTTAGCGTTAGAATACCATAAGGGTCACCTACGTACCCATACTCTCAGCCAATTAGGATTAGCATTAGATATTAAGTTTATTTCATAGAAATTTATTCATCTTTTCGTCACTGGACTTTTAAAGTCAGTTAACTCTCTTGCCATGGGAAGATGGGTGACAGCAGCTGACTGGCCCATTTACTTAGTTCTTATAGACTCCAGTGATTTTGGTATGTTCGTTGAAGTTATTTTGGGAGAATACCTATGGATGCTATTAGGGCTGGGACAAGTCCAAATTTACTTCCCGGGTACCCACCCCCCTATTACCCGACCCTACCCGGGTACCCACTGTAGGTCTCAAGAGATAGTTAAAACATATCCGATTGGGAATGGTTTGACCGTACTCCTGTCAAAATAAATTTAGATACACGTATAAAGCGATCTCGTCATGCATACACTGAAGCTGACTGATGTTTTATCATTATGCAAACATATAAAGTCAGAAGAAATGTGTGCAAAGTCAGAAAGAAATGAAAACATTTATCACTTGTAGTGTAACCATAGAGTTCTAGATAATTTTTGCCATTAAACAATATAATCACGTGACTAACCACGGGTCGGGGTAGTCCTGTGGGTACCCGGGTCCTACTCAGTACCCACCCGACCCGGGGAACCCGAGTTACCCGTCCCAGCCCTAGATGCTATTGCTATTCTGATTTGATTGTCTTAATGATGATTTGTTTGTTTGCTTATTTGTTTGTTGTTTAACGCCGAACTCAGCAATATTCCAGCAGGCTGTAAATAATCAAGTCTGGCCTCTTGATAAAGGCATAGCCGCCTCTTATGACAAGCATGGGTTGCTGAAAATCTATTCGGGTCTCGTAATGATTACATAGCCTTTGAACATACATCTACTTGACAATAAACCATCTTCTAAATCAACAGTGTCCATGGGACATGTTGAGCTGAACACGACAAGGTGAAACGAAACTTAAAAGGTCAAGGCAACTCTGATAACTTGCTCATGCGAAAATCACCACTCAAAAACATAAAATAACAAGAAAGAATAGGAGATTATGAAAACAAGCAATATCTTCCCTTGTTATGTCTGCTAAACATGCTAAAGTAGGGGCGGAGGGGTAGCCTAATGGATAAAGTGTTTGCTCGTCACGCCAAAGGCCCAGGTTCGATTCCCTACATGGATACAATGTGTGAAGCCCATTTCTGGTGTCCAATATTGCTGGAATACTGCTATAAGCAGAGTAAAAACATACTCACTCACTCTCCTAAAGTAACGCTTACAATCAGTTTACCATGTTTATCAGATCGTAAGGTCATGTGACCCAATCCTTGCCAATACTAGATTGTCCTTCCTTCCTTCCTTCCTTCCTCGTACAGGGAGCATGTACCAACTAGATACTACACCCTTAACAGCTAGCTAAAACAACAGCCGTGTTGATTCTCAAGCTTATGATACAGAGTGAGTGAGTTGTCTGTTCTTTTGTAATTCAACACGAGGACATAACTAAAAAAGCATTTCAGATTTGGATACGGTCCCCATCCTATGTTATCTCCGATGACAATTGTGAAACATGCCTGACTTGTAGCCCGGCCTCCACCTTCGATCAAAACTGCAAATGTTCACACACATTCAACAAAAGGTCACAATGTATATCGAAACTACTTACCATATATTCTTTTCTGTTCCAATGAGTTTTTTTGAGAGCCCAAACTTTGCGGATGACATGTTCTGTGGAGAAAGATGGGAGAGTGAAAGGTATGAAATAGTGTGTAGTCAGTGTGTGACTGGTCGACACAAGTAGCTGTGGCCTGTATATAACCCTGCCACTACCGTGTATGCCTGAATAAACACCCACCTGTTACAACACAAACAAGCTGTATTTGCATTCGCATTCTTCAGTCATTTGAAAACAGAACTGATGAACTAATAATGATATCTAGATATATAAATATATATGCACATATTTATCAATAATTTTTCACTTTTTTTTTTTATCTATTTAAATTTGTTAAAGGACTGCTCCAATGATTACAAAACAATGTCCTGAAGTAGAAAGGGGTCCATGTGCACAAAACAATCTACTGATGTCTGTTAAAGGAATGTGAAAAAAACAATCTACTGATGTCTGTTAAAGGACCCTGCCCATGTGCACAAAACAATCTACTGATGTCTGTTAAAGGACCCTGCCCATGGCCACAAAACAATCTACTGATGTCTATTAAAGGACCCTGCCCATGTGCACAAAACAATCTACTGATGTCTGTTAAAGGACCCTGCCCATGTGCACAAAACAATCTACTGATGTCTGTTAAAGGACCCTGCCCATGGCCACAAAACAATCTACTGATGTCTATTAAAGGACCCTGCCCATGTGCACAAAACAATCTACTGATGTCTGTTAAAGGACCCTGCCCATGTGCACAAAACAATCTACTGATGTCTATTAAAGGACCCTGCCCATGTGCACAAAACAATCTACTGATGTCTGTTGAAGAATGTGCACAAAACAATCTACTGATAGCTGTTATAAGAATGTGCCCATGTGCACAAAACAATCTACTGATGTCTGTTGAAGAATGTGCACAAAACAGTCTACTGATAGCTGTTAAAGAATGTGCACAAAACAATCTACTGATAGCTGTTATAAGAATGTGCACAAAACAATCTACTGATAGCTGTTAAAGAATGTGCACAAAACAATCTACTGATAGCTGTTAAAGAATGTTGGCAAAACAATCTACTGATAGCTGTTAAAGAATGTTGGCAAAACAATCTACTGATAGCTGTTAAAGAATGTTGGCAAAACAATCTACTGATAGCTGTTAAAGAATGTGCACAAAACAATCTACTGATAGCTGTTAAAGAATGTGCACAAAACAATCTACTGATAGCTGTTATAAGAATGTGCCCATGGCCACAAAACAATCTACTGATGTCTATTAAAGGACCCTGCCCATGTGCACAAAACAATCTACTGATGTCTGTTGAAGAATGTGCACAAAACAATCTACTGATAGCTGTTAAAGAATGTGCACAAAACAATCTATTGATAGCTGTTAAAGAATGTGCACAAAACAATCTACTGATAGCTGTTATAAGAATGTGCACAAAACAATCTACTGATAGCTGTTAAAGAATGTTGGCAAAACAATCTACTGATAGCTGTTAAAGAATGTTGGCAAAACAATCTACTGATAGCTGTTAAAGAATGTGCACAAAACAATCTACTGATAGCTGTTAAAGAATGTGCACAAAACAATCTACTGATAGCTGTTATAAGAATGTGCCCATGGCCACAAAACAATCTAATAAGGCACATGCACCAGGTGCATGTTCACAAGAAAACCTAGATGCACCAAACAAAACTGGTTGCACCCTGGTCCCATAGATTTATCAAAGTTGAAACATAGATCCATGAACTATTCCAAAATATATTTAATCTCACATCTCTGATGATTTTTAATACAGTTAGTTTTTGTTTGTTGTTTAACACTGCACAATTTTCGAGTCATTCATATCACAGTGGTCTGTCAATTGAGTCTGGACCAGACAATCCAGCAATTGATATCATAAGCACCGATCCACACAATTGGGATACGATGACATGCATCAACCAAGTCAGCGAGTCTGACCACCCGATCCTGTTAGTCGCTTCTTACTACAAGCATAGTCGCCTCTTATGACAAGCATAGTCGCCTCTTATGACAAGCATGGGTTGCTGAAGACCAATTCTAACCTGGATCTTCACGGGTCTACAGAGACTACTTACTGTTACAGTATTTATGTGGCATTGTCATCCGTGGCAACCGTCATGTACACTTTGTTCGGTTTGTGTAATTCTAGAACTCTCAGTACCTTCAGTTTAATGACATTGTGCACACAGTTTGATGACATTGTACCCACAGTTTGATGACACTGTACCCACAGTTTGATGACATTGTACCCACAGTTTGATTACATTGTTCCCACAGTTTGATTACATTGTACCCACAGTTTGATGACATTGTACCCACAGTTTCATTACATTGTACCCACAGTTTGATGACATTGTACCCACAGTTTGATGACATTGTACCCACAGTTTCATTACATTGTACCCACAGTTTGATGACATTGTACCCACAGTTTGATGACATTGTGCCCACAGTTTGATGACATTGTACCCACAGTTTCATTACATTGTACCCACAGTTTGATGACATTGTACCCACAGTTTGATGACATTGTGCCCACAGTTTGATGACATTGTGCACACAGTTTCATTACTTTGTACCCTAAGTTTCATTACATTGTACCCACAGTTTGATGATATTGTACCCACAGTTTGATTACATTGTACCCACAGTTTCATTACATTGTACCCACAGTTTTATTACATTGTGCACACAGTTTCATTACATTGTACCCACAGTTTGATTACATTGTACCCACAGTTTGATGACATTTTACCCACAGTTTGATTACATTGTACCCAGTTTCATTACATTGTACCCACAGTTTGATGACATTGTACCCACAGTTTGATTACATTGTACCCACAGTTTGATGACATTGTACCCACAGTTTGATTACATTGTACCCACAGTTTGATGACATTGTACCCACAGTTTGATTACATTGTGCCCACAGTTTGATGACATTGTGCCCACAGTTTGATGACATTGTGCCCACAGTTTGATGACATTGTACCCACAGTTTCATGACTTTGTACCCACAGTTTGATGACATTGTACCCACAGTTTGATGACATTGTACCCACAGTTTGATGGCATTGTACCCACAGTTTGATGACATTGTGCCCTCAGTTTGATGACATTGTGCCCACAGTTTGATGACATTGTGCCTGAACAGCATAACAAATACACCCAACACTGGGATTAGTGATTTTTGTTTCTGTTGCTTAATGATGCACTCAGCAATATTCCAGCTGTATGACGGCAGTCTGTAATAATTGAGTGTGGACCAGACAATCCAGTGATTGATATCATGAATATAATGTATCAATCAAGTCACCGTGTCTGACCACCTGATGCCGTGTGTCGCCTCTTACGACAAGCATGGATCAATTAGTGATGTAGAATGATAAATAAAGCTAGGAGGTAGTGCATGTGTTCAAAGATCGATGTTATCAAAGTTATACACAAATTAAAATATTTTAGTGCATATAGACATAAACATAGGGTTGCATTTTAATAATAAGGTGCACTGGTGCATGCTTAATATAGCTAAATTAGCCCTGCTAATGATGTACAACAGTAACATCACAGTCAAGTCAGCAATATAACCGTTACATCAAAGCCAAGTCTGCAATACAACAGTTACATCACAGCCAAGTCTGCAATACAACAGTTACATCACAGCCAAGTCTGCAATACAACAGTAACATCACACCCATGTCTGCAATACAACAGTTACATCACAGCCAAGTCTGCAATACAACAGTTACATCACAGCCAAGTCTGCAATACAACAGTTACATCACAGCCAAGTCTGCAATACAACAGTAACATCACACCCATGTCTGCAATACAACAGTTACATCACAGCCAAGTCTGCAATACAACAGTTACATCACACCCATGTCTGCAATACAACAGTTACATCACAGACAAGTCTGCAATACAACAGTTACATCACAGCCAAGTCTGCAATACAACAGTAACATCACACCCATGTCTGCAATACAACAGTTACATCACAGCCAAGTCTGCAATACAACAGTAACATCACACCCATGTCTGCAATACAACAGTTACATCACAGCCAAGTCTGCAATACAACAGTTACATCACACCCATGTCTGCAATACAACAGTTACATCACAGCCAAGTCTGCAATACAACAGTTACATCACAGCCAAGTCTGCAATATAACAGTTACATCACACCCATGTCTGCAATACAACAGTTACATAACAGCCAAGTCAGCAATATAACAGTTACATCACACCCATATCTGCAATACAACAGTTACATCACAGCTGAGCGGGCAGATTACAGCAGAAAATATGACCATAACCTGGACCGCTTGTCTCTGTGACAGGGCGTTTATTGCAGTATATAACCCACAGGCCAAGTGTGATCATGACTGGACACTTTTGGCTGGTAATTATACAAACACACACCTCCCAGGATCACCTGTATTCAGCATGTGATCACAGCTATCAGCTGACCAGGTGAGGGAAGGAACCATTATGTGAATGGTTGAGCTGGGGCGAAATTAGTGAAATCAGCTAAATAAAATAATGGCTATAGTCAGGACTGCTTGTCTAATTCATGCAGGATTTAACCACCATTCCAACCGTCACTACATCCTAAGTAGACACAATGTACGGACAACAAGTTGTTATCCATAAATTGTGTCTACTTTGTCATCCGTCAACTTCTTAGTAATGCCTATCAAACAACTGACACGACCTCCTCAACCAGCTTCATACTTTCTGATGTTGGCCATACAATCTACCATCATGCAATAAAACTTGCACAATATTCCGATATTACATCTGTGAACTAAAGTATGTAGGACAAACTTAGACCTGGTATCAGGTATAATGATCTCCTACCAGCTTGTGACTTAAACAGAAAGGACCTGTTAGGTTGACTTCGGGTGATCCATGAATTAATGCATGATTCAACAGCTAAGTAGCTAGTGATTTAATTGCATTTGATTGGCTAACCAAGCACACCCAAAATAAATTCGGCCACGCTTGCTTACGGACTGCGGTTTCC